GGGGGGGGGGGGACTTCAGGGCACCTGACTCCTGGACGGTGTTGCCAGATTGGGCTGGTTTCCCTCCAAATGGGCTACTTTTGAATTAGGGCTGGTTTTGTTAACATTTGCCATTTTCTTTATATTGTGAAAATAATATCACCAAACTGTCATTTTATGGTAAAAAAACAGATCAATGCAGTAAACCTTGTCCATTCACTCACATTATTTAATTTGGGAAATATTTGATGGACAGGAGTTGTATTAAATCGTCATTAAGGATAATGAAGACCTGCTTAACATGACATCATCATCATTAATCATGGGAATTTGTGTATTTGTTTGCACTCTTTGTGGGCTGCTATAGCCTATCCATCTAACATTTTATCTTTGGTTATTTGATGCAGATATGAAGCTTTGTCTGCTTCTGATTAATGGTTTTCAGTTTCACACAGATTTCCGGCATATTCATGATTTGGGCTGTTTTTCTTTCTTTCTTTTTATTAAATTGGGCGGGTTGTTAAAGTTGTGATTGGCTGATCTGGCAACAATGGTCCTGGACCAGAATGAGTCCAACATGTCACCTGCAACGGGCCTAAACAAACTAGTTCCCTGTTGCTGCAGGATACTTCACACAGATGGTGGATAAACTGCAGCATCAAACCAGAGTGTATTTCACCGGTGTGACCGTGAATAAACTGATACTTGTATTGTTTTTTTCCCCTGTCGGATTGTATTTCCTCATCACACTAACGCTCTGACGTTACCGCCCGCAAAATACCTCCGCCACTTAAATTAGTGCTCTACTTTGAAAATCGCGGCGGTTAAATCAAAGCAAGCGACTTGGACTGTTTGGAAATGACCTCCGCTAAGTGAAGGCTTGATTTCACCGATGTTTCTCACCGCGAGTAACCGCGATTTGGGTGTGTTTTTCCGGGATTTGGTGTTCCCAGACTGACGTCATCTTGCTTTACCTTTCGCCCTTTTTCTCCAACTGGAAATGTGTTTTAGTAAATACCAGATGTTTGGATACATGGGAAGAGTGAAAGTGACATTAGGCACAATGTACAATGATTTAATAAATAATAATGCATAATCATATTTTATTTGTTGTGTTTTTAGAGTCATGATTCTGTCCAGTGACATTAAAGGTAAATGTAGTAATGTTGACTTCTAAAGTAGAAGTATACACTAAGCAGTAGGCTGTATAGTGAGTTAGAATAGTAACATATTTCAACACTTCATATCTAAATATCATAACATATCTATTGCTGTTGGGGGGCCTTTTAGTTGGGAGCTCCAGGCAGTTGCTTATCTCGCCCCTTGGCAAAATCTGGCCCTGGTGTTTCCTCCTGTGAACCAGAGTGTATTTCACAGTTGTTTCTCACCGTGAGTAGCCTTTGGTGTGTGACGCAACTCTGTCATGGTAGCTGGATTGCTCAGGAGCAATGGAAGGTTGTTGGTGTTGAGCGGGAAGTTGTTTGTTTGAGCGGTTCTTGAGAAAGCTGCAAGCAGCAACACCGCAGGCCAAAGTTTGGCCTGTTCTGAACTGGCATGTTTTCAAATGGTATTATTAATGAAACATTGTGCCTGTTTTTTTTGTCAACCTTATATTCAGCATCTGTATTAGATGATATATTAGGTGTTTAATACTTTACAACACATGCAGGGAATAAATTCACATCTCCAATTAAATCTATAAAGCTTTTTTTCCTTTATTTCTAGCGAACATCATAACAGATTCACAATTTTTAAAAATATACATTTTTGTAGCTATAACATTTAAAAAGAAAAAATCAACAGGTAAGGTGTTCTTTTTGAAAATAAAATACAAAAAAAACTAAAGTGAGATTGTGTGCTGAATCAGAGGAGATACCCGTATCTGAGTTTAAAATACTTTCATCATTTTCCCTGCCTTCAAACAAATACAGTACGTAAAAAATTAGATGGGAACAGAAGCGTGCAGTACACGGGGGTCAAGAGTATTCACAAAGCATCATGTTCCAATGTGTTATTAGCACCATTACTCCTCAGCCATGCTGCACTTTTTTTACTCTTTCCATCATTCAGTTTTTAATGGAAAAACACCATGAGTGTCGAGGCGATGTGGCACAGACCTGTCTGTGTGGGTGGGATTGTCTGTTACGCAGTTTTCATTAGTGTTCTCCCTTTCTCAGAGATAATGTTAAGAACATATTGGAGGGAAATGCCTTGACGAACAATCAATTGTTTGAAATGACTCCCAGTGATGAGAGTTTAAAAAAAAGGCGAAGAGTTGCTCATACATTCACCTTGCCTGCCTAGGCCGACATGTAGACATCGGCTCAGAAGCAAGAAAATAAAAAAATAAAAATAAATGCATTGCGAAATTGACAGAGAGATTGCATTAAATCTGTTTAGCATATTTACTGTATATAACATCTGTAATGTGACGAACAATCAATTGTTTGAAATGACTCCCAGTGATGAGAGTTTA